CTATATTATTATGATTGTAGATCCTCAAAAATCTATTTTCTTTCATAACTTGTCACACATGTTTCAGAATTTGTTCTTATTTTGTAATATTATTGTTTATACTTGTATTAAACCTTTCACGGTTCAGATTTTCATTTTACTGGTTAGTTGTCAAAATATTTAGATTTGTATTTTTCCTTAATTATTGTGATCAAATTTAACATGAATAGATTTCATTGTAACTTTTTATCTATCCATCTGTTTTTTGTGAAACTTTACACAAATGTTGTACCATGTATTACCTGTCTTTGCATATTGTTACCTTTTTATTTACATGCGTATTTGTTTAATTATACTATGACCCATTGTATTTTTTAATATTATTACGCAATAAAATTTATGCAATATTCATTTAAAATTGATTTGTGTAACATCAGTTACTACTTATAGTAATTGTTCCACCAATTTTGTACAACCTTTATTAATGCACTTTTATTGGTTCACTTAGTCGTGATACCTTCTATTTTTACTTTTTATATTTTACAGGGTCCTCCCTTGTGATTTTCACTTTTTTTATTTGTGTCATTGTTTATTTGTTTATTTTTTAACTTGCATAAATTTTTGATATATTTTCATATATTTTCATATATTTTGGACAGGTCTATGAAAATCAATTAATTATAAAAAGGGTTGATATTCCCTTTGGTAATTTTCTAGAATCTTCTATTCTAAATGTTAATTTCAATTTCCTTCAATAATTTACTAAGTTTTTTGACTTTAAAACATTTTCTTTGAGTCTTTCTCTATCTAATTACGTCTACTTTAAACATTTATTCCTTTATTTTTCTTGTATTTTCTTTCTTTTGAAAATTTCCATTATTTTTTGAGATATTTGTTCATATTTTTTCAATTCTTTTAATTCTTTATTTAATCCTCTAATTCTTTCTTCATATTCCAATGTGCTTGTCTCAAGGGTTGTCATTGATTCCTTCAGTCTTTTTTCCAATCCTTTAATTTTCTCCTCATATTTTGTTTTAAAAGTTTCTTTTATTTCAGATACTTGATCTTTTAATATTTTATTTCTATTATTTAATAGGTTTCTTTCTGTTTCAAATGATGATAATTTCGTTTCTAATATCTGTTCCCTAGTTTGTAATTTTTTTATTTCTTGTTGTTGATATGAAACAATATCATTAAATTCTTTGTTAAGTTGGTTGTATAATTCTTTAACTTTGTGATTTTCTTCTTGTAGTTCTTCATTCAATTGTTCTGCTAATGTCTTTCTGTTTACTAATGAGATTATTTTATCTAATCTTTCTTTATGTTGTTCATCTATACTTTTATTGTATAATAATTCTTCACGAATTGTTTCATTTTCATCTTTTAATCTTTTTAGTTCTTCTTGTAGTTTCTCAGTATATTTAATTAGTTCAAATTTACTAATGAATGCTCTTCTCAAATCTTTAAAGTAGACGTAATTAGATAGAGAAAGACTCAAAGAAAATGTTTTAAAGTCAAAAAACTTAGTAAATTATTGAA